GCCATCGAACTTCTGGCAAGAGAAAAAACCCGTAATACGTAGCCGACATTTGGAAGAAGAAGCCTGACTTGCTCCGTTGACAGACCAAGAGACTCTTAATCTCAGGGTCATGGGTTTAAGTCCCATGTTAGGTGTTTCAAATCTTCAGGGAGTGGCAGGCTAGTGGTTAGGGTGTAGAGCTTGGAGTTCTGAGTTCGAGCCCCACTCCCATAGACTGCCACTCTGGGTCCCTGAGCAAGACCCTTAATCCCACACTGCTCCCCAGGCGCCGCACAGTGGCCCACTGCTCCCCAAGGGGATGGGTTATATGCAGAGAATTAATTTCGTTGCTCTGTACTTGTGACAGTGAAAACATTCTATTTAAAAAGATGTCTTGGATAATAGCGCATAGTGAGAAACACAGCACAGCACTGGGACTTGATCAACAGCCGATACCGCACCGTGACGTCACAAACCGGTAGGTGGAAAGTAGTGTTCTTTGACAAACATGGATGCCTCCAGTAAAGCTCTTTGAAATGAAAATTACTCTTAATTAAAACGGTTTGAACGATTGAACGGTTTGTCCATCCATCCATCTTCCTCCGCTTATCCGGGGTCGGGTCGCGGGGGCAGCACCGTTTGTAATAATTTTATATTTAAGGTGTCTTCAGAAGTTTGAATTCTGAATATGACCGGACTTTTCCTTTCATGGTAAACGTCGTGTATTTACATAGCGCTTTTTCAAGTCAGGAGACTTGACCAAAGCCCTTACACTATATTCAGTTATTCACCCAATGAGGTACACACTGATGATGGCAAACTACATTGCCAAATCGATTACAGAGACTGTGATCCACAGGTTGTGAACATACTCTGATACAGTAGGTGGCGACTCGATTTGCGTTAACCCCGCCCCCTAACTTTGATGGGGGAGTGATGTATCACTTAAAACGGAGGAATCGGGAACAATAGGCATAAAAAACAAATAACAATATATGAATAAAAGCATATCTGAAAATATTAGTTATAACAAATATCTGGGTCCTTTACAGTCTTCTTTGTTTCTACTATAGTTATCATTCAGAAACCTCTAAAAAAACATAAAATGATTTACCCTAAACCAGCTTTAAGGTTTTATCTCTTGCTGTTTCTTTGTCTTGATTGAATTATTATTTTTTTTATCTCTCCCAGGCGGCAGAGCAAACCTCATGAGGACATCATGGGGATCCAGAACAAACCTGCTGGTCAGGTTCCTGGGAGCTCGGGCCTCGCACAGGGAAAGACTTTCCTCCTCAACAAGTTTTCCTCCCTGAACCAGAAGGTGAAGCAAACCAAGACAAATGTAAACATCGGCCCCTTTAAGCCCCTCGGGAAGCTGGGGAACTTCTCCAAACCAGAGGTGACGGTGAACTTCCTCAAACCCACCATGCATGTCAACCTGTGGAAGTCGGACAGCAGCCTGGAGACGTCGGATAACAACCCCGGCGTGGGAGCCCTCAAAGCCATGGCCGGAAAGCGCTTCGAAAACGACTCCGATTCGGACTCGTACAACTCTGACCCTGAGCATCCCTGCTCCGGGTCCTTTGAGAAAGTGGACTATGTTCTGCCCAGCTGTGGCATTGTAGCATCAAACTCCAGACTCGGCAGCCGCTCCCAGTCCATCGGCAGCGGGGAGCTCAACGTTCCCTCCATGATTCACGTCACCGGCTGCGTGGAAAAGCAAGGAGGCCTGTCTGAAATCAACGACAAGTCACCTGGCGCCGCCTCATTGGCGGAAGAAGCCCTTCTGATAGACTTCGGCACACCCATCGACGCCTACTGCCACCAGTTCGTCCAGGATGCACAGACCAAGCCAGTGGAGGTGTTTGGAGAGCTGCCAGCGGGCGGTATCCCACCAGCCAACCCCGCGGTGCAGAAATCTGCAGACTCTGAGCAGCAGCAGCCGGGCTCTGAGACACAGAACCAGCACCAGGGGGCTCAACTGCCGAGGCCGTCCAAGCTAGACGTCCAAACCACTACCTCCAGTTCCAACCTCCTCTCCGTCCAGAGGCCCAGCTCTGCCGCCTCCGGAGGCTCCCAGAAGAGTCTGAGCTCCCTAATGGAGGGCAGCCTCGGACCGTCGCCCGCCGACAGCAACGGCAGCCGCGTGGTTTCCCCTTTTGCCAAGATCAAGAGCTCAATGGTCCAGGTGGCCAGCTTCACCCAGGCAGGGTTCACCCAGGGCATCAACTACGCGGTGGCGAAGGTCCAGAAGAGCCCGGAGCCAGACTCTGTGAACGAGGCGCAGGAGAGCGAGCTGAAGGCAATGTTTACACAGTGCCAGACCAGGATCATTCAGATCTAGAGCTTCTCCTTGTAGCAGGATTTTGTAGAAACTCCCGTGTGGTAGCATCAGCAGAAGCTTGCACAGTGTGTCATAATTAGGCCAACATAGGCGGTCCTACATCCACCCTCAAACGAGAGAAAAACACGCCCTCCTCCCATCGTGACAGCGACCATGTTTACATGCACAGTAGTATGGATTTCCTTTTTTTTTTTTTGTTCGAGCACTGATTTGTTTGTCCTTTTCTGTTGCCATGCAACCTTGCACACTGAATAATATTAATATATGTTCTTGCTCATGTCCTGTAACAGTCAACTGTGCCTCGCAGTGGAAGTTGCAATAATTGCGGCATAACGTTTCTTCCCTTAACATAATATTTCAGCCTAGCACTCGGCTTTAAATGAAAGAGGCTAAAAATTTCTTCTAGAGAGAATTAGACCGACATCCCGACAAAACCCTAATGCACCTGAAGATACGCATCTTTCAACAAATGTATAAGAGAATCTTATTTATCTCAAAGAAAAGCTGCTATTCTATGAGAAACTAAACTTTTAATTCTGGTTAAAATACTGTAACTTAAACAGTAATTAAACCTGTTTACACATTAAGATAAAACCCAAATGTAGATGTAGTTATCAAGTGCTTATTATGCAGATTATTATCCTTTTATTGATGTTTTGATCCTTAGAGTAAAACTTTAACAGGCTTATCTGCCTGGAGCTTCATAACTAGTTCTAAAACAGAGCGCTCTATTCGTTTCCTCACAGCTGACCGGCAGTGTGCAGCAGGCAGTGCTGCTGCTCTTCACGTTTAAACTGACCATCTTTATACGCTGCAAAATCTGGCTGAATATTTCATGCATCCAAACGACACTTGTTTTAGTTTTTTCATTTACTTCTTCTCGTTGACAAAAGATGAAAATCTTAGTAACTAGAATGCCAGAAGAAAATGGGGGTTGAATAGAATCTGTATTCTCCCAATATTACACTGTTTTATCATGTATTTTTCTACAATAATGCAGCCCAAAAATCAATACCGATTTCTTATTTTAAGAAACAAAAACAAAATGTGGTGTAATGTATTTGGCACGCCAGCAGGGGGTGATAATGTGACATTATCAACACCAAAAAATCAAAATACTCTGAGCATGACTTGGAGGCGCTGTATAAAATATTCTAATATTTCTCACAGTTGTTGTATTATGTTTAATGGACCCAAAGCTAAACTGATCTTTTTAAGGAGGACCTCTGTTGTCCAGTCCAGATAGATGACCCCCCCCCCC